GTCATTAACTGGTACTTTTTTGCTGAAATTTCAATTAATAAACAATAAAAGTGATACTGATCAAGATTCTAACACTTGAACACAAACTCAAATACTGTATTTAGAAATCAATCAACCCAAAAGTCTTTTGATGAAGGTCCAAAGTGGATTTTATCTTCCAATAATTATTTCATAAAGTTTGAAGCATTCAAGCTTAAAGCCCCAGCTTGTATCCTTAGTTGGAATCCATATAACTATTACTTATTATCCCTACCGCTTAACAGTCAAATGTAAATAAACTAAAACAGCTTGTTAGGAACCAATTATGGCTTTGCAATCAGCTCATCATGTCTCCTAGGTTTGAATTTAAAAATGTTGTGCTTAATTATTATTATTATAATTTCATGTTCAATGGAATACTCATTTTACCTGCTGCATCAGAACATTGTTGTCCCCCTCAAATGTCGATTGCGCATCAAATTCACCCATGAATTGACCAACACGATTTTCAGATTTAATTCCTTGTCCTCCACAGGCTTCACGACATTCCTATTTCATGCATTAATAGAACCTTAGTGAAGCCAATGGCATATTATCTATCAAACCCAAGTATAATGATAGCAATACATACCTGGAGAGTATGCATATTATTCCAAGTTAAAGTAGCCTTGTAAGCACTAGAAATAATATGAATTGTCTTGTTTGACTCAGGCGTTCTATTGACATACATCATTTTGAGCTCATTTGCAGCAAAACTCATTGCATATCTGTAGATAAGAGTGATGGAATGAACATAAAAGGTACTAATCTTGGTCCATTTAAATCCACTAAACTTGGATAGTCACTTTTTATTAAATCACTATATAGTTACTCAAAACTGACAACATATATGAGTCACATGGATGTGTTTGTGTCTCACTTCTCGTGAGTGGATGATGCATGTTGCATCTAAATTAAATGCTTTATTCTGGAATATATATAGGGAAATAACCTCTGAATGTATATAAAACATAATTAATCCTGTAATATTCAGAATATTTTTAACGATTCTTAGCATTTTGGTGAGAAAAGAAAAAGGCATCTTAAATTGAGGAATATGTACTAAAGTGGCCTCAGCAAATCCTGTAATCAGAGGACTTACACCTTTGCTAGTAAAGGTAACAGACGCCGTTGATGAGTAGGGTAATCAAGCAGTAAAACTTCAGGCCCA